CTGGCATGAGCTTTAGTTTTACATTTAAAAACATTGTAGGAGCAAGGGGCATTTGTTCCATGTGCCTTTATTTGATTATATAGAAATTTTGAGACAAGATCTTATAGCTGAGGCTAGCTTCTAAGTATGCTGGCCTTAAACTAAGAATTCTTTTGCCTCAGCCTCCCAAGTGCTGGGATTACAGGTGTGAACCACCATGTCACTTTTTCTTGTTACTCTATCTTCTTTCTCTGTGAACTTTCCTAAGCTGGGAATTCACAGGAATCAATTTATAGAATATGTGGAATCGATTTATAGCATATGACATTTTATGTCTGGCTTTGAAAACTCAAGGTTTCTAGATGTATATGCAGTCCCTGCATGCTGCTAACGAGGCATGATGGTCATCACAAGGTGGGCATGGTCCCAAGGATCTAGCTGTCTTCCTGATGATACTGGAGTCTTAAGTATGGATTCATAAATGAGCAGGAGAGACTTTGGTTGAAACTTCTTTCTAGGAGTTCCCTCTTAGTCATCCTTGGCTTCCTCTGCTGTAGGTTTTTTTTTCTCTATCTTTTCAGCACTTAGTGTGTGCATGCACACATATGTTGTATACATACATTTTACACATTGAAGAGGTGGGAAAGAGGCAGGCCTGTGGACCTTGTTTGTTGGAGAAACGCATGGGAGTGTGGTGTGCCTGTGATGACAGTTAGTGGCTGCACTCCTCTTTGCAAGACCCCTCCAAGCCTACTAAAGCTGCCTCTTGCTAGAACAGGCTTTCCTGAGGCAGCCTTATAGTTTTACCTACGAGCTTTCTGTGGAGTGCCTACAAAATAACAATACTGTGTGGTAAGCTTTCACATACTTAATTCCAACAAACCTAAAGGAGAAAGTGGACTTTGAGTACTGTTTCTCTTGATATATGACACAGCCAACGCTATAACAGTTCTTCTTTTTTTAAAGATGTATTTTTATTTTATATTTATGAGTGTTTTGCATATATTTATGCAAACGCATCCTGTGTATGCCAGGTGCCTATGGAGGCCAGAAAAAGGCACTGGGTTCCCTGGAACAGAAGTTACAGATGGTAGTGAATTGCCATGCAGGTGCTGGGAACCAAACCCAGGTCCTCTGCAAGAGCAGCCAGTATTCTTAACTGCTAGGCCATGTCTCTGGCCCTTCAAGTCCTGATCTGTCCAAAACTGTATCCAAACCTTCGTACTTGCCCCCAAAGGTTTATTTTATGTTGAGTCTCTGGCTCTCCTTCTGATAATGCCTCAGAACCAGACAAGGCAGCCACAATTGCATGGCTTCTGGCTGAACACCTGCTTTAGAATTGTAATGAGATTAGAAACCAGGACTTCTGTGAATGGAATCTCATGTTTTCTCTTGCAGTCAATAGGAAGGCTGGGTGTGCAGTCACATCTCTGCTAGCCTCAGAGCTGACCAAGGATGATGCCATGGCTACTGGTCCTGCTAAGGTGCCCAAGAAAAGTGAAGGAGTCCCCACAATCCTTGAAGAAGCCAAGGAACTAGTTGGCCGTGCAAGCTAAGCTGGGCTTTATGGCCATTGCTGCTCCTAGGCGAAGCCCAGACTGTCTACCTGCAGCATGTGCCTAAATGGTCAAGGAGATATCCCTCTGCAGTGGCCACTCCACCACCTGACCCTGTCTCTCTGTCTGGCCTGCTGCTCTCTGAACATCACATACAGCTTCAGCTGCCTGGAGGCCAGAAGGAAGGGGCCGTGTAGGGGTGGCCTGATCCCAGCCCAGCCAGCCCTGGCTGTTGTATTACCAAAGCAGGGTCTGTGTTTGCTGCCTTAACCCTGTCTCCTCCTCTGTGTTACTCAGAGGTCCTGGTCTCAGACAGAACCCAGCCTGCTTTCTCAGCCCCACTCTCTGGTGGGCCTTCCCCTAGGTCAATCTTGCTGCATTTGTGCTTTTCTTTTGTGGTTTCTCTGGCCCTGAGAATAGCATGGGACTTGTGAACCTTCGGGCTAGATCTTTTCACTGCTGTCGCCTCTGCTTTGCCTCCTGGCAGTTATTTATTACTAGTGCTGTGGCATTGGGAGCTGCTGCTGCAAAAGCAGGAAGCAAATCCCACCCTTACCCCACTTTCCTGGGAAAGGTCTCCCGGGCAAAGGGTCTCAACCACTCTCCCTGTCCCACTGTGGCCCAGGTCTGAGCCATAGGCAGGTCGCTAGGGCATAGTGACAGTGTGGGGCCTGCCCCCTGCCCGCTGCCATGCTTTATGCCCTTGCCTCCCTGGTTCCTCTGCACCAGCCCCCTCACCTCCACCCTGTGACTGAGCCCCCTCCCCCACGCCTCCCCCGGAGCTTTGGTGCGTCTCATTTGGAGTGTGGGCTGTAGAGTGGCCATCCCAACACCTCACCCCTCCATCCAAGGAAATGGGAGGCGGAGCCTCCTGGCTGAGAAATTGTTTTGCAAATGGATCTATTTTTATATGAAAATTTTTTTAAGAAAAAATAACTTTGGTCCCCTTTCCCCTCCATAATAAAAGAGGCTTTGATGGTAGGTTCAAGCATTCCTGGGGTCAGTCCTGAACATGGCCTAAATATTGGCCCCACTCCTCAAGACTAAACCGTGAGGTCAAGGCAGACCCTTCCCTAGCATCAGTTCTGGGGCAAGAGAAATTTCTCTGGGTGGGCTGGGCCACACCATAGGGTAGCAAGAGCTCAGATGCTGTGTTTTCATGAATGTATTTAATTATCAAGCCAAACGTGCAGATGCTAAGTGGATGCTGAGAAGCGGCACAGGGGTGTCCTGCCCCCCCCCCATATAAACAGTGAGCCAGACTGGGGGTCCCAGACCTCAGGAAGCTCCCATTCTCTGGCTTAGGGTCACTGCTTGTCCTCCACTGAGGCCCCTTTCAGCTCCGAGGCTACGGAGAAGGAATGACACTGTCCAGGCTTGACACAGAGTTGCCAGAGCATGGAGGAGTTAGGACACAAGGGCCTGTGCAGGAGCCTTGTGGCCAGGGAGGACTGTTTGGGTTGCCAGAGCTTGTGTCTGAGGAACAGTGGCAGCTCCTGGGCTCCTTCCTGGGAAGACTGAAGTAGGGGCTGGTTCTTCCCTGAGCTGCCATCTTGCTCGCTGACATCTGGGGCTTTGACCCTTTTCTTTTTTTAATCACTTTTGCTAAAATGCATTTAATTAAATTTTTTAAGTAGAGGGGGTAAAATGCAAACCCCTTGCCTCCTGGGCTTTTGGGATGTCATCACCTCCAGTTTGATGGGTTTGTTTCCAACTGTCAATAAAGCATTGAAACAGAACCTCCCTCTGGCCTCTTTTGTAAAGTTCTGGACTGGTTCTTTTCACTGTAGTGGTCTAGGCGTCTCTTTGGTGGTGTCCCACTCAGTTGTTGATCTGAGTGGTCAAAAGCTAACCAGTCCCGCCATTGAGCGTGGGCGTGGCTTGGCTCGGCTCCATGGTGGCTTCTTTGAGCCACAGCCCCTTACAGGGCTGTTGTCCTATTTACTCCAGCTGCTTCCACACTGTGACCCTTAGCTCACCTCCAGCTTCTCACTCTCCTGGCTCCTCCAGATGCCACAGTTTTCTGGTCAGTACCTATGTCCTCTATCCTTGCCAAGTTAGAGGTGCTTAACCCTGGTGCTGGAATCCTGAGCCTGCCCAACCTGGGTCAGAAGTCCCAGCCCAGACACCAGAGGACTTGGCCACTAAGCTATGCTTGTTCAAGCAAGTTGTAACTTCAACAAAGACGCCTTAACAGTGAGCAGACCCATGGGGGACAGAAAGGGTCCTTGGATAGCCCTATACTACAAGTAAAACCCTTTTAAATAGCCCCTGGGCCCGCGCAGCTGCCTCTTGTGGCAGAGGCAGAGATGTGGGTGTGGCTACCTGCCTCGAAACCCTAGAGGCTATGTTTCCGCTCATCTTTTGGTGCCCACATACCAATTAAGGGACCAGCCACAGCTGCTCTTTGCCCTACCGTCTGCTTCCTTGCCCAGAATAGAACCCAGGCACTCAGTACCCCGCCCTTCCAACACCAGGCTCTGAGAAAACCCTGCTTTCCTCGCAGCAACCTCACACACCACCACCCTTCCCACACAAAGTCAAAGTCGCCTGGAAGGTTCGGTTTCCATGGCAACAGACCGGGAGGTGGCAGAGCTGGTAACCAGAATCTGAGGGAGGGAGCCCAGAAACTCCTCTTCTGGCTCTTTTGATGAACATGCTCTCACTAACCCTCCAGAAAACCTGTGGGTCTGTGTCTGTCCTCCGTGTCAACCTTCCTGACTCCAGGAGCTGCAGGAACCTAGGAGTCAGAAGAGCCACGCTGGGAGGGGGACCGAGAAAAAGGCTGGGTCCCCAGGCCATCTTGTGCCATCCCTTCAATTGATTTTGCTGCTATAAAAAGAATGTGAAAGCAAGTTCCACTTAGAGAAACTGAGGCCCTGGGTAGGGAACACGGTATTCAGAAAATTTTCTCCCGGGCATTCATTCCTGCTGTTCCTCAGACCTCTAGGCAGCTGCAAGGGAGGAGGGGTAGGCAAAGGAGAATCCGTCCTCCTCTGGATCAGCCCCTTAGCTGAAGGGAGGTAGCTAGTGGGGAAGGGGCGAAACAGAGGAAAAAGTCCCCAGCGCCCTCCCACCCCCACTCACGCTCCTGCTCCCCGCCCCCAATGCAGGGTCTCCTCTTCTGCCTGGAGACAGCCCTGAGAATAAATCTGCACTCAGTTGCGCACGCATTCAAACTCCCCACCCCCCACAATGGACTCTCCAGCGACACCGCCACCGCATACTGATCCACAAGCACCATTACAGTTCATCACATATTATTAGAGACGCCAGGAAATCGGAAACATGCACTCCATATTGGGCAGTCAGATGCGCACTGCACAAGCACACGCAATTCAAAAATAGATCTAGATAAAATCAAGACACAAACAACTATGATCCTTTGATTCTATTATTTAAGACAAACCCCTCGACTCCACCCACATGTTCTGTGTTCCATTTCTTAAACAAACACAGTCAGACTTTCAGAAGAAACCATTTTTTATTTTTAATTTTCGAAGAAAAAAGCCATATAAATATTAGAGTATAAAACTTGCGAGAGATATCGGAAGGGGGATGGGCAGGAGCTACGTGACTATGCGAAGAGAAGCTTTTATAGAGAAGTCAGTACAGGGAGGGGTCGCCGCAGCGTGTGGACACAGCACAAAACACAGCACGGGCCGCGCAGGCAGATTGAGATTCAAAGGACAGACGGCTGCGCACAGCCCACCGCCCGCTGCCCACTCGCCATCACGTAAAAGCACACCACACTATACTATTGGCTATTCTACACCAACGGGAGGGGGCGGGGCGGGGGAGGCTTCTACACTACTGTAAGGGCTGGGGCAGAGGGAGTTCTATGCACAAGGAGGCACTGGGGGGCTTTAACCGGTCTCTGGCCACGAGGGGGTGGCCTGGGGGCCTGGGCAGTGGCCTTCTGAGAAGAAATGGCACCTGGTAAGGTGGAGGCCAGGGGCTTGAGGACTACAGGGGCCCAGTGGAAAAGCCTCATCACTGGCTGAGACTTTATGGCCACTTGGTCCCTTTTTCTAGCTACTGGACTAGACCCAGGGTCCAAGAATGACATTGCTGGGCCTCCCTTCCTGCTAGGACCACTGACCCTCCCACCAAAGGGCACCTCTGGAGTACCCAGCACCCACAGAGGCCCCTTTTTGCTATCTGGTCTTAAACTCATTTAGAAGTCTTCTTGGACTGAAATGTCAGCTTAAATCCACTGGTCCGGGTGGCTCAGCCCAAGCTGCCCAGGCTGAACCAGGATGGAGGGGTTTGGCCTGGTGTTTGTCTATGGCTAGAATTTGAGGATTGAGCCAGTACCCTGGGTACATACAGAGCCCCTTGCAAGACCCTATTAACAGGCTGTTTTGCCCACTGCCCCACTCCCAGCAGTGTACACTCAACTTCCCTTTAGTTTACCACCCCCTACTGTCTCCAGACATGCAAAGGAGTCTCTTCTTTGAGGTGTAGGAAAGTCACAGCATGCAGTGGGAACATCAAACAATGAAAAACAAAAGACTAGTAGTCCCCAGGCATTGAAAAGAGGCTTGGTAGCAAAATGCCTTCCCCAAATCCAGCAAGCATCATCAGTACCAGAGCGATGGTGACTGTCCCCCAAAACTTAAGTATTGGTCTCAGGCTCTAGAAGTAAATGATAAGACTGGTCCCAAACCGTGCTTTGGGGGAAAGCTGAACTGAAGGAGAGGCCAAAAGATTGTAATTCTCTCCCAACTGTTCAGAACTAGGAGCCTGCTTAGCTCGCCTGTCACCCCAACAGCCCAACTATCTTGCTCAAAGAGAGGGACTGAAGGAGTGGGTGGGGTAGGGAGAGGGGTTGGAAGATGGATGAGTTCAGCTGTAACTAAGGGAGTGTGGCATGGTTTTTGTGTGTGTATGTCCACACTAACCCTGCTACCCATGTGGGTACAATCACTGATTGGATAGGGGGTCCCAGCAGAACTCTCTTTGCATATTGAACCCCCTAGGGTACAGAGAGGGGGGTGTTGGCTTGGGCACTTGTTTCTGTTTCCCAAAGGGGAGCATGGCCATGGCTCCTACCAGTATCCTGGGGTGAGCCCTGAAATTCTGAGGCCTGGGTACAAGTAAGGAAAGCTGGACTGGCGGGGAGGGAGGCTGCCCTGTGGCTCAAGGCCTGGCCTCCACATTACTTCTTCTCTTTCTTGCCCGACTTCTTCTTGTTGCCGTTACCACCTGCAGGAGCCTTGCCATCTCGTTTGCCCGCAGCACTGGTCAGCGTGGCATTGCTACCAGGGATGTACACGTTCTGGCGGTAGTCGGGCACATGCTGCAGGGTAAACTGGGGTCCGTATCGAGCGCTCAAACCCATGGTGCCAGCGCCCCCTCCCAGAGTGGAGCTCCCATCAGCGGCTTCTGCAGAGACAGAGGAAGAGCAGATGATCAGTTGGGGTCTGTGACTTCCTTGCACTGCAATCAGTGAATGCCTGGACCCATGCACTGGGAATACAGTGCTCACCTAGGCCATCTCTGTGTGCACAGGAGCTGGGGGAGAAGTCAAGAGTGGCCCGTGATCCTCAACAAGTCTACCCAGCCTCTCTATACCATCCATCCGTTTCTAAATACCTTCACTTCCATAAACTGAAGGTAAGCTAGAAAGTCTCCACTTTGGGTAAGAAGTAAAAGAGAAAACGCTTCTAAGGTGCCTAGACTGGAGGCTTGGCACAGGACATGCACTCAGCAGCTCTGCCATTAATTTATATGCAGGGGTGTTCTTCCACTCATATACATATGTCTATCTGTGTGGTACTAGGAATTGAACTCATGGCCTTGCACATGCTAGGCAAACACTTCCCCAGCTGAGCTACATACCCAGCCCAGCCCTTAATTTGTTGGTTGCTTTGGTTTGGTTTGGTTCTTCCTGGGTTTTGTTGTTGTTTGTTGGGGTTGGTTTGGTTCGGTTTGGTTTTTCGAGACAAGGTTTCTCTGTGTAGCCTTGGCTGTCAAGGAACTCGATCTGTAGACCAGGCTGGCCTTGAACTCAGAGATCCACCTGCCTCTGCCTCCCAAGTGCTGGGATTAAAGGTGTGGGTGATTTTTGTTGTTTAAATTGTTTAAACTGTAACACTGAGCTGGCCTGCAACTGTTTAGACCAGAGCAACCTGAGTGCTGGGTTAAGGGAGTCCTGGCCCAGCCATTGGTTTCCTGAGGCAGACTCACCCCGGCTGGTTTTAGGCTTAGTCTTTGCCTGCCTCTGCCTCTGAGTGCTGGGATTGTAGGTGTGTGTTAACATGCCAGCTCATCAGAAGCATCCTTTTTTTTTTCTTTTTTTCCTATCCTCCACCCTGCCAAGCCCCAGTACTAAGGATCCAACCATGGGCAAGAGGTCTAGCATTGAGCTACATACTCAGCCATTGGGTTTTGGTTTTTAGGGTTTTTTTTTTTTTTCTTTTTGAGACAAAGTCTTGCTACGTAGATCAAACTAGCCTTGAACTTGAAATCCTTCAGCTTCCATCTCCTGAAGGCTGAGATGATAAGCTTTGTCCACACTAGGCCTGGCTGCATCCACTTCTTGACAGCACTGGACTGTCTACTCTGTGGCAAGTACATGTATGACCACTGAACCTCAACACCAACAGCACTCAGTCAGGCATGTGGCTGTGTCCTTCCTCATTTTACAGATAGGGAGCCAACGCTGAGAGAAGGCCAGAACCAGACAATATGTGTTTTAGTGGGACTCCACCCTACGGTATCTGAGTGCTGGGAACATGTTCCTCTACTGTTACTACCAACTTGGACCTATTCCTGCTCTTGGGGAAAAGAAATGGGTATGGGAGGGCTGCCCCTCACTCTGGGAGATGATGGTCCTTGGAACAAATATCTTAGGTACGGCATAGGCATGGGGCTCAGTGCCTGAAGCAGGTGACTGGATGCCACTTAGGCCAACTTCCTGGAGGAGCTCAAAGCGGCACACTTGCTTAAAAAGCAGGTTCCTTGTCTGCATGGGAATGAGATCCAGGTGACTAGAGTCCACTTGAGTAGCTGAAGCACAGAAATAACCCATCATGGGGCTTCTGTGAGGATTAAAGAAAACAGGCACTCAGTAAATCCTATCCTGCTGCCCCCTCAGCCCTCCAGGTCATCCAGTGTGATGATATCCAGTCCACCACTGTATTCCTTCTGAATGGAGCTGGTGGTGGGGAGGAAGGTGGGAGTTGGGCTCCCAGATTCCCAGACGGAGGCTCTGACACCCTCAATGACACAAAGAGAGTTGAAGGCCTTGCCCAGCCTAGCCAAAAGCTGGAGCATTTTTTCCCCTCGCCTGTGCCTCCACCCTCGACCTTGGAGCTAACAGAGAGGTAGACTAAAGCTGGAGAGGTTGAGTAATTCTGGGACATCAACCAGGGATTGAGAAATAGAGACAGGAAATATTTCCAGTTTGTGTATGAGGGGAAAGCAAGAGGCGGGGAAGAGCAGAGATGTGCCAGTGTCTCTCCACCTTGGCAACCTGGAGTCTGGGTTTCCACCCTCTATATCCAGTCTCCAAAGTCCTGGAGCAGAAGGCCTTCTGGGAACAGGCCTGGTAGGAGGGAACAGCTGCCCACCCCTCCCACCCCTTTCATTTGCTAACATTTCCCTAATTAACTCCAGGAGGTACCAGCCCTCCAAGGCTCACCCTTCCCCTCAAACTCACAGCCTTCTCCAACCTGGTAATGGAAGGGGGAAGGGCACAGATCTAGTTTCAAAGAGCCAGGATTCCAAAGTGATTTAGGGGATTGAGAAGATAGGGGTGTGTGTGTGTGTGTGTGTGTGTGTGTGTATGTGTGTTATAGAGCTGCTTCTGCCCCCAAGCACTCAATTAGGAAGGAATGTGGAGGAACTGAGAAAGAAGGCTGAGCAAAAACACAGAAGTGCTCCACTAAATGACAAGAAGTCAAGGCCCACCCACATGCTACATGCACCCAAGATCTCTGAGAATCATTCAAAATGGCCACTTGGTGGAAGAGAACTTGAGGAGATCAGGAGGGAGAGAAATTGAAGATGCAGAGAGGACACTGGGATCCTGCCCTGTCAGCAATGCCGGTTCAGAGTCTCCAAAGGCCTTTCTGATTACATCCTAACCCCCAAGACTTGGCCTAGACAAGGACCAGGGGTTGCTCCAGTCTCAGAAAAACACACTTAAAAATGCAAAGAGGCAGGATCTTTTCCAGCGGAAGAAGGGTGCTGGCCTCCCTCCAGTTCCAAACTCATTACCGCCTTCCCCTGGCCCCCTTAATATTGACAGTCCCAGTCAGACAAAGACCCCCACAATAACAATAACCAGAGTTAGCCAAGGAAGTGAGCCCAAAACTGGCACAGCTGCAAACCGCAGCCTTCTTTTGGGTGCCCCTCCCCCAAGTGTTTATTTAAGAGCTCTCTCAAGGGTCCCTCCCTTCTCTCCTCTCTAGGCTGGCTGGGCTGGGCTCCAGCAGCCTCTCGGGCTCTGGGGTTTGGAAGTAGGTGTGAAAGTGAGAGCCGGGCCTGACCCTGCCACCGTAGTCCTGGAGTCTATTCCCCTCAGAGCCCAAGGCTGGGGCCTTGGGTCAGGTCCTGTGTGGGCTGGAGGGGTGGAGCCCTGACAGGGGAGCATGCATGCGGCCATGGCACTACTCCAAAGAGACCTTCTGGGAAGGTTTTGGGCCATAAATATTGTTTCCATGTCTGTTTTTAGCATCTGGATTTGGGCTGAAAAGACTGTTTTCTGGCCTTAGGGCTCAAGGCCACAACAGCTAAAGAGACCTGTTTACTTCCCTCAAGAGCTGAACCTGGCATATCCCCAGGCCCAATGTGTACAGCTGGCCTCTCAGGGATCTCAGCCCTGTCCCCCAGAAGTTGACAGCTCCTATCATCTGTCCCCCATCTCTACCCTTTGGTCCGCCATAGGCCAGGCCTCATTCAGTCTCACAGACATCAAGGGTAAGATTACTAAATCATAATAAGTAAAAATACATGGTTTTCAGCTGTCTCTGCATTTTGAGTAGACAAGAATTTTTTTTTTAACATAGTTTGCCTTGTGTTAACAGTTTAAGATGAAGCCACTGATGATCACCTGGTCTTCCAGAGACGCCACACAGACTTATACTTCATCCATAGCTATGATGGCAGCACCCCTCCCTCAGACGCTCACCCTATCACACTCATGGCTACCACTTACCGCTGGCAGAGGCCAAGATCATAGCTTGCAGCATCTCTGTATCGAACTGGTTGTTGGGCCAGGTGCCGGTTTCATCACCATTTTGGGATCTGCAGAGACAGTGGTGACAAGGTCACTCCTGCTCATTCTCCCCCAGCCTCTTCCGGAGTTCCCAAATCCCCCTCCTTATCCCCAGTCTCCACCCTATGCCTCAGACTTGCTCCTGAGTGGAGTAGGTGGAGTTTATATAACCCTTTGATGCCAGACCCCAATATGCCCACTCCCAGAGCAGCTTTATGTTGTCTCAGATGCATTAGCTGAATGCCATCCCTCTGTCCTTCATGATAGGATGTGATCTACTGTCGCAGCCTGAGACATCAGACCCTCTTCTGAGGACAGTGAAAGAAGACAATTTGAGAGAATGTCTCATAACTAGAGGAAGGTCCAAAAATGAGAGAGAAATATTCAGGTAACTCAGGAGGCCCCAAGTAACCCCACAGCAGTTGCCCAAGCTCAGACTTGCTGTTTTCCTAAGCCCTCAGTGTAACGTCTATCGTCACACCAAACTGTCCATCCTGCTTGACAATGACATCTCCCCACTCCCAAACAGTCTATCATCAAACAGTTTCCCAGTAACTTCCCCTTCAGGCTCTCTGCTGTTGATCCCCAGAATGTCAAACCACACAGCCTTTGTTCTAGCAATGTGAATAAAATGAGCCCCCGGGGGGGGGGGGGATTCTCCAATTTAGCCATGCTGGGCTGAGCCCTGCATGGTCCAGGAACTACTCTGCTCCTTCGTTACGTTGACCCCCGTGGTGGGGACCAGTGTTTGCCTCCAGCTGAAGCACTCAGTAGGAACCCTGATTTCCTGAGCTTCGTTAGGTCACTTAGAAGCACTGAGCATTGAAAAACATGAAGTGACTCATGTTTTTAAATATCTCAAGAGTGCTATGGAATTGTAACTATGCTCAATGTGGGATTTTCCCATGGTGCCAATTTCCCTGTGTGTCTTCTTCCTTTCTCCCTGTTTCTGTCTGTCTCTGTTTTTTGTTTGTTTTCGTGACAGTCTTACTCTGTAAGCCAAACTATAACCCATGTGGGCCTCAAACTCACAGTAATTCTCCTGCCTCAGCTTTGTGAGTGCTGGGATTTATACAACCATACCTAGCCATCATGTGGATTTTCAAGGATCAAATCACTCTATTTTGAGGGGTGAGGGAAGAAACCTGCCACACACTGACACAGTCTGACACAGAGATGTTCCACCCAATGAACAGTAGCTGCCTGGCTGGGCCTGGTGGTGCATTCCTATAAGTCTAGCACTTAGGAGGTTGAGGCAGGAGGATATTGGAGAGTTTCAGATCAATCAGGGCAACATTGAGATAAACTTGCCGCAAACAAACAAGTAAATAAATAAAAGTTGCTAAGAAGAAGAGCTCAGGGGAAAGAATTAGGTCCTGACGAAGTAATGAAGAATTTGGTTTCAGGGCAGACCCTGAAGAGTGGAAGAGAGCATGTGTGCACGTTCATGTGTGCAAGTGTGCATGTGTGCACGTGTGTAATCCTAGCAGTCTGGAGGCTGAGGGAAGAAGAGTGTGATTTTTAAGGCCAGCCTTGGTTATATAGAAAGGCTGAGTCTCAAAAAACAAAAAAAAAAAACAAAAAAAAAAACCGAAAAAAAAAAAACAAAAACAAACAAGGACCAGCTTAGTGGTAGAGTGCTTGTCTAGCATGCAGAAGGCTTGGAGTTCCATGTCTAGCCTAGCAGATAAATAAATACTTTTATTTATAAACTTTATAAGGATGGACACTGTGATGGACAGCTGTAGTCCCAGGAATTATGGAGGCCAGGGTGGGGTAATTAGTTGAGTCCCAAAGTTAGAAGCCAGCCTGGGCCACACAGGGAGAGCTTGTCTCAAAAGAGATAAGTAAACAAAAATGAAAATAACCATAGGGAAGTCTGGGGACACAACTTTTACCAAGTGAGCAAATAACAGTTCTGATAACAGGACAAATAGGTGTCAAATACTGGGGACAGGACACACTGGCAGTGAGTACCAGTGATGTGGTCCCTGGGAATCCCCAAACACCAAGTATGTAAAGTTCCAACAGAGACTGCTGAGTTATGTTGAATTTAGCCAAAAGAATCAACAACACAGACTATGAGCATTTAAAAGACTACTGGTCTGGATGCTTTAAAAAATATCTATTTCATTAAAAAAAAAAGGGGGGGGGTAGGGAAACTGTTCTGATTAAAGCCAAGGGCAGAGACATGGCAACCAAATACAATTCATGCTCCTTGATTGAATTCTGAATTTAATTTCAAAATTAAGATTAAATTTAAGAGAACAGATTAAAAGGGCATACTGAGAGCATTTGGGAAGGTCTGGTAGTGGACTGTGTATTATTATATTAATATTAAATTCCTCAAATATGATCATTCTGTTGTGATTTTATAGGCATCCTGGAAGGTATGCATTGTCTCAAATATTCTGATCCTTATAGTGCTTGCCCATGGTCCTAGAAGGATAGAAACTCTGTGTGTGTACATGTGTGCAAGTTACTAGTGAATTTAGGTTTGTTTAAAAAATAAAACACTCAATATGCATACTTTACCATACTAGTTTTTTGACTTTTAGATATATTTGAGACATTTTAAGATAAAACACTGAAAGGTTAAAATCGAGTCACTGAGCCAGGTAGTGGTGGCTCTTCCCTTTAATCCTAGTGCTCTAGAGCCAGAGGCAGATGGATCTCCAAGTTCAAGACTACAGAACAAGTTCTGGTACAGTCAGGGCTACACAGAGAAACCCAGTCTGGAAAATACAAAACAAAACCAAGTCACCTAGGAGACAAAGGGTATAGAAGATAGTTATCAAAGCAGGGGAGGGGCCTGTCTTCAGGAACTGGGGGTTTGGGGTGTGTGTGGGGGAATTGGTTGGGAAGGCAAAGTGAACACTAAACATTTGGCTTCCTCCTCCCTCAGAATTCTGGAGAGCTCCTGACATGCTCAGAAGCAAGGTCGCCGTGGTGAAATTTAACTATGTAAAACTCACTCTTGTCCTGGTAACAAGGATGGAGGGTGTGAGGGGTCCACCCGCCCCACAGAGGATGGAAGCTCAGACAGGTGTCTTCATGAAAACCAAAGGAACAACCTTCAGTCTAGTGTGACTGAGCTCATGAGGGTGTGGGAGAACTCAGAGACCACTCAGGTCAGGAGGGGGCCCTAGCAGGGAATAGAGGTAGTCTGGACCCAAGACGGCTGGACAGTCAGGAAAATGCTAGAGGCCAAACAGGTGAGCAAGCTGCCTGAGAAGTGACAGTGGGAGGGGTTCTAAGGCATGGAGCCACTGGGTCATGTGCTCATCATCTAGAGAGGAATGATGATTACCCGTCATTTCCAGCAGAGGAAGGCAGGGCTTGGAGGCCTTCTCAAAGTCACACACAGCTAGTTAAGTGGTACAGCTGCAACTCCATCTGGCCTGATATGACCCTAAAGCCCATGATGACCTCACACAGAGGAACTTGGCTTCAACCAGGCATCCCTGGAGCCCAGCAGCAGAGTCAAGGGGCTCTTCCAAGATGTGAAGACAAAAGTAAGCATAAAGGAAATGCACTGTGGTTAACAGTCTGTTGTCCAAGCACCCACGTATTCTGGCTAACCCTGAGAATGGAGGTCAGAGAAGAGGAACAGCCTATGGTTGGGCTGTGACAAAATATTCCCCCATGTTACGCTAAGAAGTGGGAAACCTGGAAAAGCCACATTGACAACAGCTTGTACTTAATTGTGTTAAAATGTGTATGCATGTGTATTTGGTTAGCAAAGCAAGAATCTTTTAGCACCTAAAAAATATATGTATCTATCCATATGAGATGCCATTATGCAACATTTAAATGACTTCAAAAGTTTTTACTGACATGGGGGAATTCATCTTAACATGTTATAAAGAAGAAAAAATAGGCTACCATAATACTGGAAAGATGGATGACCTCAATTTCTATTAAAAAAAAAAAAAACCCTGGTAATATTGTGAACAAGTTTGCCAGATTTTTTTAAAAATGAAGCTAAGGCATGCTGTTTGACTATAGAAATAAAAATGCTTAGAAAGATACATAATGAGTATGTTAATTACTCAATGAATAAATTGCAACCAAAAGACAAAAATGGTGGAAAAGGAACATTTAGGAACATTTATACTAAAAAGGATTAAGAGACTGAGGAGACATTGAACTGAATGCAAAATGCATATTTTTTAAAAAGCATATATATATATATATATGTGTGTGTGTGTGTGTGTGTGTGTGTGTGTGTGTGTGTATTCCTTTTTTTTTCCCCAGTCAGTGTTTCTATGTAGGCTTGGCTATCCTAGAACTCACTGTAGACCAGGCTGGCTTCAAACTTACAGCGATCTGCCTGCATCAGTCTCCAGAGTGCTGGGATTAAAGACATTCATCACCATACCCAATAAAAGGGCCTGGAAATCCCAGATGAAATTATGTAATGTTTGGGATTTGCTTGGAAATAATTCAGGGGCGTACAACGGTGGGGATCTCAATGGCTTAACACAGGAGATGGAGCTGGGGCAAATGGCAGGACCTGCGAGCGTCAGCTTACTGTCTAGTTTCATATATGTACATCTCTTCTACATCAAAATGTTCCTGGTTCTTTCTAGATTATGGGAGAGTTTCTCTTTTTTTTTTCTCTCTCCTGTTTGAGAAACAATGTGCTGGGAACTGAACTCTGGCCTCTGGAAGAGCAGTGAGCACTCAGCCTGTGAATTCCAAGAATGTACTACCCTATGGGGGCTGGGACAGTGGCTGGAGAGCTGCTATTTGTTTGTTGAACAACTGCCTGATCTGAGGGAGTGGGGAAAGGGAGCGGGGGTGGGGGCAGGAATAATGTCTCAGAACAGGAATAGAAGGTCACCCAGGTTGGAGAAGAATAACCCAGGAACCACAAAGAACAAGGTGGTACCAGAGACTCTGGGAACAGCTGTAGAGCAGGACAGAGCCCAGGCTACAGGCAGAGAGAGAGAAATAGCTTGCTGGGCTCGAGCCTTGGAACAGTTGTTGGAATCAGAGGCCAGATGGATGGCCTGAGAAGGCTCAGTGTGGAAAGGAGAAACTCACAACCAGCAGGGACTTTGGAACATGATTCTTTCCCTTTTGTTTGGGCAGTGGGACCTATCATTACCTTGAACTTTACACTGGGTTACTGAAGACTTCAACACTAACCCTGCTCTGACCCTGATGTGGCTGGCCAGAGGGGCTGTCAGACAGTGGACAGAGCAGCAGTGGAGGGCGGTAACCAGTATCATGCTTAGAAAGAGAAGCTGCCTTTCTTCATCCTCCTCTCTCCAGTGTGCTCATCAAAATGGCAGCCAAGAGAAAAGTCCCTATGCTTTTGTTCTTTGTGAGAGGCTGCAGGGCCCCTGCATAGATTCTTCCTGCATCTGGAATGTTCTTCCTTGTCTTCTGGTGGTTGACTTGTATTCCTCTTGCAGATTTCACCTGCCTTATTGCCTTCTGATCTCTTTCTGCTCTCTAACTAGGTCAACACTCAACACACTGCCAACTCCCTGAGACTAGGGGCCACCTCTATGTGTCCCATGTATGGACTGCAGAAGGTCCTTACTAAGGGCTAAATGAATGAAGGGGGGAGGTGACACCTCTGGACCACACCCTGATGTTTGCTTCATCTTGGCCACTTTGGGGCTGAGTCAACCACAGCTGTGGAAGGGAGCTCTCCTGAGCCTTCTTCATCTCCCCCAGAGCTCCACTCTGGAGCCCAAGCCATCAAAGCCTGTCCCTGATGAGAAGGGACAGGATGCAAGGGAAGAAAGCTCCCCAGGGGGCGCATGAGACCAACTGTTGGGGCTTCCAAGACTAGCAACCACCATTGCTTCAGGGCCAGGGTCTTGGCTGGCCAGGGTAGAAGGAACACAGTTGCCCTGTGTGTCTTAAAACTACTGCAGTGGGCTGGAGAGATGGTTCAGTGGTTAAGAGCACTGACTGCTCTTCCAAAGGTTCTGAGTTCAATTCCCAGCAACCACGTGGTGGCTCACAACCATCTGTAATGGGATCTGATGTCCTCTTCTGGTGTGTCTGAACACAGTGACAGTGTACTTACATATATTAAATAAATAAATACATCTTAAAAAAAAAAAAAACAAAAAAAACCTACTGCAGTTCAAATGTCCCTTCCTGGATGTACTCCTTAATCTCCTCTTCCCTACTCCACTCTTCTTCACAGAACTATGATTTTTAACTGGGTTTTTGAGAATTTTTTTGAGAGGGTTGTTTGTTTGTGTAGTGTGATTTACTGTCCTGTTGTTGTTGTTGTTTCCTCCGCTGACCTGGAAACTTCAGAGCTTGGGGAAGGTGTCTGCTTGCTCACTCTTACAGACATGTTAGTGCAGTACCTGGCTCACAGTAGAGACTCAGTAAAAACCCACTTAATGAATGAATATGAGAACAAGCTACAGAAGGCTGGCAAAGCCAGCAAGGAAAAAGGAAGCAGCTGGGGTCAAAGAAGGGGCAAGAGCAGCCCCAGCCTCTCTGGCTGCCTTTTAGGGGCCCTCTAGGAAGTGCTTCACATTCCTGATGCCACAGACAAGTCTGCGCATGCCTAGGTCACATGCCCAGGAGTTGGAATCTGCCTTCACACAAGGCTTCTGGGTTCTTGTTGTAGCTAGGTTTTGGTTGGTGAGGAGAAAGCAGAATGGGAGCCCCCGACACTCAGCATCTTAGCATCTGGGCAAACACAGGAAGCAAGCCCACGCCTTGCCCCCCTTCCTGGACTTCCCAGCTTCTAGCTTCTGCCTAGCAAGCTGGCCCAGATCCTATCCCACGCCCCTCAGTCCAACTGAAGTCCTCAGTCTTTCTGCTGAAGTCTATCCTCCTCCCCACCCCCATAGGGGGTTCTTGTCTCAGCAGGAATTTATCCTCGACTGAAATGAACAGCTGGGCCAGTCAGGATGGGAGGGAGAGTGGTAGAGTAGCCATCAAAGGGTCTATGTGTGAGGGATGGGAGGGGGAGGCACTGGGGTGCTGGCTTGCCTGCAAGTGCCAATAAATGAGACAGACAGGGATTGTGTGTGTGTGTGTGTGTGAGAGAGAGAGAGAGAGAGAGAGAGAGAGAGAGAGAGAGAGAGAGAGAGAGAGAGAGAGAGACTGAGACCTTGAATGAGAAGCAGAACAGACATGGAGTCTGACACTGTAAGCCTTAGAACAAAAAGAGAGGCAGAAAGAGAAAGAGGAGAATGGAACATGGAGAGAGGACCACAGTGATACAGGAAATGACTGGACTGAGAGACAAACAAAGAGGACAAGTAAAGGGACAGAGACAGTGAAGGGGGGGCGACAGTCTGGTACTAGGAAGAGTCAAATGTCTTCATGCTTTCTCCTTTTATTGAGCACCTTGCCATGGCAGGCACAGTACAGAAGTGTGTGCAGATGGGGCAAAGAGACACAGGTGTAAGGGATGGAGAAAGGGGGAGGCAGAGACTGTAAACTAAGACGGAGACTTTGGGGAGAATGCAGAGATGAGAAGGTACAGGGGAGACACAAGCTGGAGAAAGAGGAGATGGAAACAAAACCCAGCAGGTAGACAGGGCAGTGTGTGGACTCACAAGACAGCTTGGAGAAGCAGAGGGAGGGAGACACCCCCCCCCTTGGTTCTTCGTAAGGGAAACTTTCTATTTCTTGTGTTGGTATGACAACGTATCATTTTATAAGCAATGCCATCTCCAGCTTTGTGGTTTCCTCCCCCCCCCCTCCTTCACACAAGGTTTTGACTGGAAACAGCCTGTTTTCCTCTGGCCCCACTTCCTCTACTCAAGTCACAGGTCAGGATAAAGCCCAGCTCTACTGCAGGAGAATGTAAACAACGGACAGATACAAAAGTCCTCCTCACCCCGCCCCCACCCCTGACTATCCTTGGGTCCCACAGGAGAACAGAAAATGTGCGTGTGGCTGGGAGAGCAAGAGGGTGCGTGGGTGAATCTTGCTTCCAAAATAGCTGGAGCAGACATCTCTTCTTTCTGGGATCTGTATAGCAGCCCCCAGAACACAAAAGCCTCCTGAAATCATGAAACGGGAAAAGAAGCCATTTGTAGAAAATGCCGAGCCCTCCCCTCATCTTCTCCCACGTCATCACGGAGAAAATGCCGCAGAGAAGAGGGTGGGATGGGGAGTCAGTCACCTACCCGCTCGTGCCGGGTCTCTGGGCTTGAGAGAAACGCCAGTCAGTGTTGGGCGGGGCTTGCTGTGGAGGAAACAGAGAGATAGAGGCTTAATACCCAACAGCTAGATGTTACCAGAGCCCCTGGGAATGGGGGCAGGGAGTGGGCAAAGGAAGGAAATGGGATAAGGTGGGGGAGGGTACACATGTCTCCAAAGGTGGGGGTGGGGAGAACCAACCCGGAGACTAACAAAATATTTCATTTGATCACAGTAAACAAGCACAGATTTCCTTGCTGAAGAAATGGATCCCTTTTTCCTGTCCCAGACTCAGAACTTCTGAGCCAAAATTCAAGGGCCCAAAGTGTCTTTTGTGGAACTGGGGAAAGAGTGCAGAAAAATGCACCCCCCACCACCACAACCAAGTGGCAGAAAGGCTTTTAAAAGCCCACCAGTCCAAGACTAGAACCATTCATCTCCTCAGCTGGGGACAAAGCCTCGGCTGCACAAGATGGGTGCCGCTCTGGGTAACCCTTTTTGTGCCAAGTTGTGCATTCACACATTCAGAGGGACACCTCCTCCGCGCCCTCGATCTCAAAGACCTCTTCCCACAGCTAAATACATTATTAATTTAGGAGTCATGCCAGCCTGGGCCTTTATAGGACATCCAAGCTCCGGGGTGCCTCTCACCCCCAGAACTTCATGCCTCACAATGGCCTGTGACTAAGGAGATGGGAACAAGGGAGCTCTGTCCAAGGCAGAGAAAATGGCTGGGATGGAATCCAGTGGGACCACATTCTACAGGCTCCAGGCAGAGCCAGCTGATCTGTAGCCCTCTCCCAACCAGCTGAAGGCGCGGGGCTCGCCAGCCACCGCTCAATTTCTAATTTCTGCAGGTTCCTTCCAGGAGATGTGTCCCACCACACATTCTCCTACAGCCATGACTTCACCAGTTTCTGGGATGTACTGGTAATTAATTCTCACACAGGCTCCCAGGAGGAGAGAGTGTGAGCATCTCAGATTACTCTGGGGAGAAGGAAGACCCAGGACTTGCCAATGACTCACACGGAGGTTCGAGAATGACAGCGATGTGGGTGGAACCCAGAAACCTAAGATTCCTGGTGCATCGGATGCCACGGCGGGTACCATTCTGGGGCTGCCATGGAGCAGGGTGCAGACCCTCGGCCACTATACCCTTTGACAGTAGAATATACTTGCGGGATGGTGATCTGACAGGAAGTGGGGCTTAAAGTTTACACCCATATGACAAGGGAGTGAGGGAGGGGGAGGGGACAAGTTTGTTCAGTGAGTGCTGCAGGGAAAGAAGAGCCCCAAAGATTTTCTTACACATTTGAGGTCTTATTGAGGAAAGACCCTCCCCCTCCTGTTTCATCCTAGCAAATGTACATCTTCACAAGTTCCAAGTGCCAAACTGTTTGCTCAAAGTACACACTGGGGTTAAACAGACCTGCATCAGACTGCATCACTGTTTATTTGAAACTTGAGCAAGTTGCTTGACCTCTGTGAAGGTAACTGCTAGCAGGCTAATAACTATCCAGAAACAGTGGTAGGAGAGGCAAAGGACATTTCTTGGCTCTTTTGGTTGGTTCAGTCTTTCTGGTTTGTTTTTGTTGTGGTGGTTTTATTTTTGTTATTTATTTATTTATTTATTTATTTATTTATTTATTTATTTTAAAGACAGGGTCTGTGTAGTCCAGGCTGTCCTGGAACTCGCAAAGTAGAGCAGGCTTGCCTCGAACTCAGAGATCTTCCTGCCTCTGCAGAGTGATGTTGGCTTTTTAAGGAGGTGTGTAGTAGGATTCTTTCAATCAACTATCAGGAGTATCTGGATATGTTCCAAAATATAAACCCCATACAACAGAGGCAGGGTGGAGGATGGACAGACTAAATTAAAGCTTCAGTGCTTTTTTTTCTTTTCTTTTCCATTTCAGTTTCCTTGCACATGAGGGCTACCTCTGGCATCTGGCAGAAGCGTTGGTTTTCCCATCTGTCAGAGGAGGGAAGATTTGCCAAGTCTCAGATACTCGGAGCATTCTCCCCAAATCCTGACCCTAGATCTTTGAGCGCATTTACGACGACGGAGCCAAAGCCTAGTTTTGAATTCCCAGAGTAGGGATTCTCCAGGCTCACACTTTCAGGGGGAGGACAGGGTCGCTGTTGACACCTGACACCGGGGTCCAGGCATTGGCCAACCTTGTAAGAGAGGCGGAGGCTCTGAGAAGGAGGGGCTAGGTATAGAGCCCTAAGAATAGCCAGACCTGGAGCTAGCAGGTTCTGCCTGTTCCAAGCCTAGAAGGCCAGCGTCACTCCTGAATTTCTGGAAACCACCCCAGCTCAGGACCATGTAACCCTGTCCGCTGGGGAGTCATAGGCGGGTTGGGAGAAACTCCTGAACCCTTACTTGGCTCTGGACAGGCGTGGCCTGGGAACCTCACCAGGTCTCAGCTAACCGGGAGCACCTTCCGGGGCGGCCCAGGGGGCGCGTGGGGGAGGGACGTCGCGTGGGTGTGATCCGCATAGAAGATACCAGCCAGCCCTAGCCAAACATCAGTGGTTGGCTGGAGCTGGAGTAAGCAGAGTGGAAGTTAACGACGGGTCGTGAGAGTAGGGAGAAAGCCTCAAGCGTGGAAGATGTCACTGGAGTCAGCGCCCAGGAGGTTGCAGCGTGGGTCTGTGGTGGCCTCTACACGGGACCCCCGGCATCTGCCAGGTCACTGCGAATTCACCAGCAGCGATGCGAGGCGCCACCTTTTCTATATGTGGGTTAGGAGTTGAGCCCACCACCCCTCACCCATAAACATTGCCCCCCTTCCCCTGCCCCATGCTCAGAACCCTGTCTTTGCCTCAGCCACTCAGATTGTCCATTTTCAAATGCATCCAGTAGATGTGCCAACTTGGTACAAAGAGAGATAGAGTGTAAGAGCAAAGCCCCTTAGGTGGACCGGGCAGCTTCTCTATCGCGCTCCCCCCGGGGGTCGCATGACGGCTCCCAGCCCTCACCTGGTTCCGATCCCGCAGCGTACTAGAGCGGGAACGCAAGGCCTCGGGCTCCAGCGCCAAGGCTGAGGGCTGCTGAACGCTTAGGGGCCTGAGGAAAGTGAAGTCACTGCCATCGGAGGCCGGAGAGAAGCACGTCCTGTAGCAATGGCTTTGAGAGTCTGTGGGCCGCAGGGTCACCTCCATGTACTTTAGTGTGCCATCTGAGCTCACCTGAAGGTTGGGGCTAGACTGCTTATAGAACTCCCTGGAGGGTGAGTCCTGGCCCCTGCAGCAGTGGCCCCCACCCTGGTCCCCATCTTCATGCCTCCGCAGACACTTAGCTGACATGAAAGTGAAGGTAACTAAGGATAAGAGACTGACAGCTGCTAAAGCCACAATAAGGTAAAGGGTGAGGTCTGACCGCTCAGGAGGGTGTGTGAGGAAGTCACTGGATCTGGGCATTTCCTCTGCATCCTCATCCTCCAGAACCAGCAATACTGTTGCTGTGGAGGATAGTGAAGGGTCACCATTGTCCCTCACCAGGACCACCACCTGTTGGGTATCAGAGTCCTCCTCCAATAAGGCCCGGGCCGTGCGCACCTCACCAGTGTGTGCAGACACAAGGAACAGTCCAGGGGCTGTGGACTGTGGTAACAGAGAGTAAGAGAGCCAGGCATTGTGACCAGCATCAGCATCCACAGCTGTCACCTTGGTGACCAAAGAACCAGGAGGAGTAGATCGGGGGAGACGCTGAGGGGCTGAGAACTCCCTGCCAGGTCGTGGGTACAGCACGGCTGGGGCATTATCGTTCTGATCAAGGACAAACACGTGGAGAGATGTGTTAGCATGCAGTCGGGGAGAGCCGGAATCTCGGACCCCCACCACAATTTGCAGCATCTGCAGTAATTCATAGTCAAAGGTCCGCTGGGCAAAGACTCGTCCATCCTCAGGGTTGACATACACAAAGGAGGAGGCTGGGGCTCCCTGAATTTGACTCCCCACAATAGAATAAGTTAGGCGGGCATTATCCCCCTCATCTGGATCTGAGGCAGCCACAGTACAGAGGAGAGAGCCTGGTGGCCGGTTTTCTGGGATATAAGCAGTGTAGAGCTGTTGGGTGAAATGGGGTGCGTTGTCATTAACATCTGAAATGTTCAGCCTGATGGTGAGATGTGTATGTAGGGGAGGTGATCCAGCATCGCTGGCCAGCAGGTCGATGGTATAATGGGATTCGGCCTCTCGGTCCAAAGGCTGGCTGGTGAGCAGTGAGTAGTGGTTCTCAGAAGGCTTGATCTGAAATGGCAGGTTTGGAGAGGTCTCCAGGCTCACCTCACCATTTCTACCTGAGTCTCGGTCCCGCACATTAAACAACCCCACAACTGTGCCCACTGGTGTGCTCTCTAGGACAGGGTTGACCAAAGATGCCAGCAGCACCTCAGGGGGATTGTCGTTAGCATCCCCTACATCCACTTGAATTACACAGTGACCCTCCATGGCTGGCTGGCCCTGGTCTCGAGCTCTTGCATGAATTTCATAGAAATTTGATTCCTCAAAATCTACTGGACCCAACACATGGATTGCTCCACTGCTAGGATCCAGGCTAAAGAGATTCTTCACTGCTTCAGATGTATGGTCTCCAAAAGAGTAGTCTAGTTGACCATTGGTGCCCTCATCTGGATCAGTGGCATTGAGTCGGAGCAGCAGCGTACCCGGGGGTGTGTTCTCTGGGAGTCCCACTCGTAGAACTGAGGACTGGAAGGTCGGGGCATTATCATTGATGTCCAGCACAATGACAGAGATAAGGCTGGTCCCTGAGCGGGCTGGGGTTCCCCCATCCACAGCAGTGAGTACCAGCTGATGTCTTGCCTGGGCTTCCCGGTCTAGCTGCTGCTCTAGCACTAGCTCTGGGAAGAGCTTCCCATCTTTTAGGGTCTTCACATGCAGAGAGAAGTGACTGTTGGGGCTTAGAGTATAAAAGCTCACAGTATTGGTGCCCACATCTGGGTCTTGGGCACTATCCAGTGGGAACCTGGCTCCAGGTGCAGCTGATTCTGAGATGCGCATCTCTCGCTCAGGAGTGGCAAA